ACCTGAGTTCAAATCTGACCTCAGACCAAACACTTGACACGTACAAGCTGTGTGACCTTGGGCCTCAGACACATAACACTTACTAGCTGTGTGACCCTGGGCAAGTCACATTGGCTAGCCTAAAAAAGAAAAAAAAAGGCTTCCTGAAGAAGGCACAGTTTTGACTGGGACTTGAAGGAAGTCAGGGAAACCAGGTGCATTCGTGATTGCCTCACAAAAAAAAAATACAAAATAATATCAGGGATTGGGATGGGGGGAGTGACACAAAGATCTGGAGGGGATTGGAAGAAGCCTTCCTTCTAGCTCTGCCCTCTTGGGTCTTGAGCAGAACAAATCTAGTCCCTTTCAGCTTGTCACCCCTTTTATTACTTTACAAATGCTTGTGGATTAATCCACTGATTGATGGATGGATGGAGTAGGCTAACAGTCATTGAGGGCCCTTCCAAGTCTGAAATCTGGTATGAATCACTGAAAAACTTGGAATGAATTTAGGTTAGAAGGAATCATCTGGTCCAACCCCAAATTTTACAAATGAGGAAAAAGATTCAGAGAGAAGTGACTCGCTCAGAAGTGTTTATGATGTAGCATAGTTTGACCAAAACCCATCCCCAAGAGAGAAGGAGAGCCGTGCAGGTAGAAACAACTGAAAAAAAAAATCAGTTCTGGACATCTTAGGAAAGATGCTAATAAGGTGAACAGTATCCAGATGAAAGCAGCTAGGGTTGCAAAGGGTCTCAAAATCACGTCATATGGGAATACATTGAATAAAATTGGGATATTTATCCTGGAGAAGAGAAGACTCAGGGAGAGAATGTGATCCATTCAGGTATTAAAAGACCTTTCAAATATTGTAGAGGCCATTTTGGGGGGTACAAGTTGGCCTAAATCAGAGGTATCAAATTCATTGAGGAAAAAAAATTCCTCAGTGCAACCTGAACCACATTACAATGTAATATATACGTTATAAAATATTATTTATATAAATGAAATAAATATATTTTGTATTTATATAAATAAATATATTAAAATAAATACATAAATAAAATAAAATATAATTAAAAATATTTAGACCCTCAAAATAAATAAAAATACAATACAACATAGACAATGCTAATTTGTGGTTTTCAAAGCCAATATGTGGCTTCAATGATCCATTTCTATTCGGGTCTGACACCACTGAACTAGATGACCCTTTTGCCTCTGAGATTCTATGAATGCTTAACGACTACGTGAGGACAGTCCCTGACTGTTAAATTAATATAAGTAGTGTTAATTCCACCAACTCTTGAGTTAATCCTTCGCTTTTCTCATTATTGGCATGTTCGCAGGTAGGTAGGGTCTGCCTACCTAAGATTGTTATGTTTATAAAAGGTTCCATTTCTGTTTTCTACTTCAGTATAGAACTCCACAGACCCTAACACCCTCAGGCCACTCACAGGAGCTCACTGTTCTGTTTCCTGAATCATAGTTACATGTGTACCTTTATCTCCCAGAACAAGGTTGGGATCCAAAAGTGGCAGCGAGTCAGAATCATACTTCTCAGTGGGTCAATAAACATTTATTAAGCATCTCCTATCTAGAAAGTACTGTGCTAAATTCTGGGAACACAAAGAAAGGACGGTTCCTGCCCTCGAGGAACTTACAATTTAATGGGGGAGACAACATGCAGGCAACTATGTACAAACTAACTGAATTCAGGCTAAATAGGAAATAATCAACAGAACGACAGATTAGAAAAGGCTTCCTATAGAGGCAGCTAGGTGGTGCAGTGGATAGAGCACCGGCCCTGGATTCAAGAGGACCTGAGTTCAAATCTGGCCTCAGACACATAACACTTACTAGCTGTGTGACCCTGGACAAGTCACATTAACTAGCCAAAAAAAGGGGGGAAAAAAGGCTTCCTGAAGAAGGCACAGTTTTGACTGGGACTTGAAGGAAGTCAGGGAAAGCAGGTGCAGAAGAGGAGGGAGGGCATTCCAGGTATGGTGCACAGCCAGAGGAAATGCCTGCAATCCAGAGATGGAGGGTCTTGTTGGAGGAACAGCCAGGAAGCCAGTGTCACTGGCTCAAAATCCTTGTAACCTTTTTGTGAATGAGTAGTAAGAATGTCACTAATAAAATCTAAAGCAAACCCTTCGAGGTAGGTGTGGCTATATTTTTATTCCTTAAAACAAAATCCTTTTGGGACAGCTAGGTGGTGCAGTGGTGGATAGACCAACGGCCCTGAAGTCAGGAGGATCTGAGTTCAAATCCGGCCTTAGACCAAACACTTGACACTTACTAGCTGTGTGACCCTGGGCAAGTCACTTAACCCCAATTGCCTAAAATAAAATAAAATCCTTTTCTTCTAGTTCCCAGAACTAGATTATTTCAGGTATGAATGAGTTGGGCTGTATTTGGAATCCAGATCTGACTTCAAATCCCATGCACATTCCACTCTACCATGATTATTCTTACTCATCTCATTGCTGTGCTAATAGTCGCCTTGCTAGAGACTGCATACGCTCCACAGGGTCTAACAACCAGCAGGAAATTAATTGTCAAATAGCTTCAGATCATGACAGTTTTAGAGATGGCTCCTCTGGGGTACTTTCCTTGCCATTTTTCTGTAGTTGATTGGTGTTCTATGCATCATCCCTGAAAAATGACCCTCAGAAATACCCATATGACTTCAGCAAATGAGCCAATTTGGAGACTCGTTAATTATGTTTCCCAGCATGCTTTGTTCAAGAGCTAAAGGAGAAGGGGACAGTGGGGGCAGAGAGGTGACTGCAGCTCAGTGATTGGTCATGGAAACTTTGGAAGCCCATCACAAATATGCATTTATATTATATCTTGATTCTGCTGGAGGCGTGGGGCTTCCAAAATTGTTTTTGCCCAATTCCAGCCCTTCTCCTCATTATTTCCAGGTCTAAAACTGACATTTCAGTTATCATCTTTCTCAGCACAACAGGGGCTTTGCCTCAGGGTGCTGGCATCCAGAAAAGTGACCTTCCTCCATTCAGGGCACTATTGTGGCTCCTCACCTCCCTTGACTCTACATGGCAGAACTATCCCCCAGCCCACCACCCTAAGGGTCCTGTCACTATAGTGAGCCTCTCTTAGGCCCACCATACACTCCTACACACTCCCTACACTCTTGCCGGGGCCAGAGAGCTCTCCTGGGATAGCCTATCCCCCCTCCTAGGAGGACTTCACCCAACAGAAAAATAGCCTGGACATTCCCTCCTCCCCCAACTTCATTCATCCCAAGAGCATGGTTACAACTTTGATCTCCTCTCCATTTCAGTGTTTTCCAACTGTTTTGTTGTTCAGTCATTTTTCCATCATGTCCTACCACTCGTGACCCCATTTGGTGTTTTCTTGGCAAAGATACTAGAATGGTTTACCATTTCCTTCTCCAGCTCATCTTACAGGTGAGGAAACTGAGTTAAGTGGAGTTAAGAGGAAACAGGATTAAGTGACTTGCCCAGGATCACACAGCTAGTAAGTGTCTGAGGTCAAATTTGAATTCTGGTCTTTCTGACTCTAGGCCCAGTGCTCTATCCACTGTGCTACAACTGCTGACTCACAGTAGATATTTATCTATCCACAAAACTTTTTTCTACTGAAGGTGCTTACTTATAGTCATAGGATTTAAAACAAGAAAGGATTTTCTAGGTCATCCTCACTGATCGGTGATGAAACCCACAATACAGCATGAATCTTGTCCATACTCAGTAAGTATAATGAGACTATCAGTATAAACTCCCCCATATGATCTTGGTTTTACCTTAACTTATTAACTTAATCTCTAAACCTCCCCTGGCAGGCAGGCTGGGATTGTAGAAAGAGAACAGAATTTCTCGACCATTAGAAGGAAAGCAGGCATGCACATTGCCTGTCCGGTACACAGTGTTTGAAGAGCTTGTTGATTGACTGATTTGAAATCAGAGAATCTGAATTCAAGTCTGAGCTCACCCATTTGCTTTCTTTATGTCCTTGGACTGATCATTGACCATCCCTGTGCCTCATTGTCCTCGTTTGTAAAATTAGGGGACATTAGGCTACATGGACGCTGAGTCCCTTTTAGCTCTGAACCTCTGATCCTATGACTCCAGCAAGATCCAGATTGGGAAAATGCTTCCAAAGGCCATGTGGGCCGGTGAAAAGAGCTTTGGATTTGGAGTCTGGGGAATTGGGGAACCACATTAGAATACTGTATGATCCTGAGAATTCAACCCAGTTCAAAAAGCATTTATTAAGTGACTACTGTGTGTCAAACAATGTGCTAGGGTTAGGGATTTGAAAACAAAATGGAAAACAGTCTCTGTCCTGAAGAGAGGATGGGCATTTCACTTCTTTGGGACTCAGTTTCCTTATCTGTAAAATAGAGACACAGCATAATATAGTAGTGGATAGAGTTCTAAAGCTGGCATCTGGAAGACCTGAGTTCAAATCCTGTCTCGGGCATTTACTAGCTGTGTGATTCTGGACAAGTCACTTCCCCACCCCATGCCTCAGTTTGCTCATCTGTAAAATGAAGGACTTGGATTCAATGGCCTCCAAGGTCCCTTCCACCTTTAAATCTAAGATCCGGGAAAATAAGGGCATTGGGCTTAACACCTAAAGTCCCTCTCAGGTCTAAGTCTGTGATCTGGTGCCCAAATTCACACAAAGATTAAGCAGGAAAGACAAGATTTGAATTCATGTCCTTGGCTCCAAAACTCTCTTTGCTAGATGACACTGCCTCTCAAAACCTAAATGCTTATTAAAATCTGTAATCTTAGCAAAAATCTAAACAGTCTGCATCCTCTTTTCGCATGTGGATCCTCCCACCCTCAGCTCCTTTCTCTCTGCCTCCTAGCCTCTGGCACCTGAGTCTCCAAGGCCCCTACGGCTGAATCCATAGAGGGTGGAGTAGTCATGGTCCATCATTCTGATCTTTGGAATGGGCTTTACTGGCCCATAGGAACATTAGGCTTGAGGAACATGGTTCTAACTGCAATGTCTGCCTTCAGCTCTCTGCAGCGTCACCTTCTCCGATCCCGAGGGCTACATAGATTCCAACGACTACGCCCCACTGCCCCTGCAGAGCTTCCTGGAGTGCACCTACAATGTGACTGTCTACACTGGCTATGGGGTGGAGCTCCAGGTAACAAACCACATTTCACTGGGCCGAGCATGCTTCAGCTACGCGGGCGAGTCTGCATGTTGCAATAGCGTGTGGATGGTTTGGTTTGGTTTTTTTATTCTCTAATTAGAACTTGGTTCAGCATCCTTCCATAGAACCATAGGAGGAAAACTGAAGAGTTGGATTATACCCCCATCTTTTTACAGAGAAGGAAACCAAAGCCTAGGAAATTTAAGTGATTTGACCCAAGTCATCCTAGGTCAAGAGCTCGAAGAGACCTCAGACACCATCTAGTCCAACCCCATTCACATGACAGATGGGGAAACTGAGGCCCAAAGAAATTAAGTGACTTGACCAAGATCACTTTGGTAGTGTTAGAGAAAGGAACTGAATCCAGTTCCTCTGAGTCCATAGTCAGTGTTCTTTCACAACAATCCATTGAAAATGAATAAATCTCAGAACCATTGGGAGTTTGACAATTAGGAAAGTATCTAAGCAAAATATATTTTTCTCATCGGAAGGATTTGTAAATACAACTATCCTTCAGTCAATCAACAAGCATATAAGAGCCTGCTATAGAGCTTGTAGCCTTTAGGCATACAAAGACAGCAGTGAAATAGTTCTTGCCCTCAAGAAGTACATACATATATATATATATATATATATATATATATATATATGTATGTATATATGTATGTATATACATATATACACACACATATGTGTATGTATTATTCAGTTGTTTTCAATCACATCTGATTCTTTATGATCTCATTTGAGGTTTTCTTGGCAGAAATACTGGTGTGGTTTGCCTTATCCTTCTCCAGGTCATTTTACAGATGAGAAAACTGAGGCAAACAGGGTGAAGTGACTTGCCCAGGGTCACACAGCTAGTAAATGTCTGAGGCCAGATTTAAACTCAGGAAGATGAGTCTTCCTGACTCCAGGCCCGGCACTTTACCCATTATGCCATCTAGGCACCTATGCATGCATATACATATATGTATAAATATGTATATATAATTATAATGTTTATACATTAATATATATGACTATATACTAAGGTATATATATATATATATACACACACACACACACACGCATACATCTATATAAAATATATACTCATATATATAATATACATATATATATACCTTAGTATATAGCCCTATATTTTATATAGATGTGTGCGTGTGTGTGTGTGTGTGTGTGTGTGTGTGTGTGTATATATATATATATACCTTAGTATATAGCCCTATATATATATTAATAGTAAATACTCTACAGTATGCCTTAGAAGGGCATTCCAGTTACCACATTGTTACATGTTTGGAGTAGAGGCAGTAGGCAGCTTCTATTGTCCAAATCACATCTGGGACCTGGAATGCACACATAAGAGTCTTCAAGGATACCGTATCTTTGACCATATTTTGCCCCAAACCTGCTGGGTAATCCAAGACAAGTCACTTCCCCTTTCTCAGAATGAGGTTCATTCAACATTAATTAAGCACCTACTATGTGCTAGGCACTGGAGATTCAAAGGCAAAATGAAAAATACTCCTTCCCCTCAAAGAGCTTATATTCTCCAAAGGGTATACAGCATTTCAGTATGTAACCCAGGGCCACAAAGCCCTGGGCTTGCATGGACATAATCCATCTTTGGGAGCTGATTCGGAATAGTGATCTCTCTTTCAGGTTGTCACCTTCAACCAGAGGCAATACTTCTAAATATACTTCATGTCTATGTTCTCACAAGTCTGAGGAACAGAATCCACAGATCTCATATGAGCACTCCAGGGGACAAATGTCTGTTAGATAGGTGTCCATCTTTATTGGATTCCATTTAAAAAATGCACTTGGCAGAAAGGCCATTCAGGAACCCATAAATCAATACAGATAACAAATAAAGCATTTACAGTAGCATATAATCCATTCTTCAGAAGTGAGTTGAGGTTACCAGTGGGACAATACCTTTACATTGTGGTGAACTTTTTCTCACAGGGCCTTACATGGCCCCACCAATATTCATAGTGGGACCCTATGTCTTATATTTTCACTGGAAGACAAACACATCTGGGGCTTCCATACAAGCAATCTTTTTCTCATCAGACCTACACTTTCAAAATCATTCACAGTAAAGTCATCGTCAGTCAGTCAATAAGTATTTATTAAATGTCTAGTAGTTTGTGCCAGATACATACTACTAATATATACTATTAATTTAATTATATATAATTATTTCTAATAATAATTAATATGATATATAGTATAACATATACTACACATATACTAATAAGCACTGGGAATCTAAAAACCTGACCCTGCCCTCAAGGAGCTCACTGCCTAACGGGAGAGACAACATGCAAACAACTATGTACAGACAAGCTATGGATGTGACAAATTAAAGACAGTCAGCAGAGGGAAGTCCCCAGCATTAAGAGGGATCAGAAAAGGTTTCATGAAGAACATGGGATTTTAGCTGAGAGTTCAAGGAAGCCAGAAGGTACAAATGAGGAGGGAAAATGTTCCAGGCATAGGGGACAACCAGTGAAAATTCCCAGAGCTGAAGATGGAGTGTGTCAGTTTCCCACTGCACCATGATGTGGCTTTAATCCCTTTGTCCAACAGTAGGGCCCATTTGAGTGACCCTCATCAATTCTCTTTGAGAATTTCTGGGGAACTCCCCTTTTCTCTCTCTAAGGCCAGATATCCAAACACTCAAACTTGGAGTGGCTCATGAGTCAACTTCCAAAACTAGCACTTCCCAAGAAATAACTTTTCTCTGGCTAGAAGCCTAGATTCCACAATCACACTTCCTAGGAAATGAAGAACCACCACCACCCCCTCCCCAGCCCAGGCAACATTGAAAAGCATATGTGTGGCTCTGCCATGTGCTTCTGCAGGAACTCTTGATACCCCACCATACTCTGGATGCCATCATCTCTCGGGCTGGGAAAATCCACTCTCAGATCTGACCATCACTCAGAAAGCCAAGACTTAACCTATGCAACTCCCATATGCTTCCATTCCAAGTCATCCATGAACCTCTCTGGAAAGAAACCTTGTACTTGTGTTGGCTTTGTTCCCATCTCCCAAGAACCCAGGTTGATCTGCTATTCTCCAGCTCATGCTAGAAATAAGAAATACTCAAAAAGTATCGAAAGTTGCAGGTCACTTTTCTTTAGTAAGCCTTAACAAAGGATTGGCTTCCACCAACAACAGTCTCTCTTCCCGAGAGTCCTAGCCAACCAAAGACCCTACTAAGCAGTCCCATTCACTGAAATCCAGACTTTAAGAGGTGCCAAGAGGAAGTGCTGAATCAACCAATCCATATTGTATCAGCCTCAAATAAACCTAATTAAAAGAGATAACTTGGGAAACTACATTTTGCTAAAAGGTATCATAGACAACAAAGAAATGTCAAAAAAAAATTAGAGCAAGTTTCTTTGATAAAGACATTATTTCTCAAATGTATAGAGAACTGAGTAAAATTTATAAAAATAAGAGACATTCCCCAATTGATAAGTGGTCCAGGAATATAAACAGGCAGTTTTCAGAAAGAGAAGTCAAAGCTATCTATAGTCATATGAAAAAAATGCTCTAAATTGCTAATGATTAGGGACAGGCAAATTAAAACAATTCTGGCACCTATCAGAAATAACAAATGCTAGAGGGGAGTGGGAAAATAGTTATATTAATGAACCTTTGGTGGAGTAGTAAATGATCCAACTATTCTGGAGAACAATCTGGACTTATAGCCAAATATTTTTTCCTACACATAGGTCCTTTTCCTTTTCCTTTGATTTCTTTAGGTTACAGAACTAGTACTGGTATTGCTAGATCAAAGAAAAAAAGGATCTATACATGCAAAAATATTTATAGCAGCTCTTTTTGTGGTGGCAAAGAATTGGAAACTGAGGGGATGCTCAACAGTTGGGGAATGGCTGAACAAGTTGTGGTAGATGATTTTGATGGAGTACTATTGTGCTGTGGGAAATGATGAGGGGGGGTGGCTTCAGAAAAATATGGCAAGACCTATATGAACTGATGCAAAGTGAAGTGAGAAGAACCATGAGATCATTGTGCACAGTAACAGCAGTGTTGTAATGATGGCCAACTACAAAAGACTTGGCTACTCTGATCAATACAGTGATCAAACACAATTCCAAAGGACTCATAATGAAAAAATGCTCTCCACCTCCAGAGAGAGAACTGATGAACTCTGAGTGAAAATGGAAGCATAATTTTCTCACTTTATTTTTTTTTTGCTTTTTTTGCAATATGGCTAATATGAAAATGTGTTTTGCATGATCTCACATGCATAATTGAGATCATATTATTTGACTTCTCAGTGTGTGGAGGAGGAGTGGGAAGGAGGGAGAGAATTTGGTACTCAGAATTTAGAAAGAAAAGAATGTTAAACATAAATAGATAGAAAAAAAAGAAAAGAAATAAAGTGAAACCAGATGATGAAGGGCTCTAGATGTCAAACAGAAGAGTTTATATTAGATGCAATAGGAGCCAGTGAGGATTCTTGGATGGAGGAATGATAGAATAAAATCTACAGTTTTATTTTGGTGGCTATTTTGGAGGGTGGATTGGAGAGAAATAATACTAGATGCAGGCAATCTCCAATTAGGAATCCAATGCAGAGATGCCTAGGGTCTGACTTAAAATTGTATGCATAGCAAAAAGGGGAAAGATTCAAGACCTGTTATAAAGGCAGAACTGTTATGAAGACAGAACTGACAAGGTAGAACTGAAAGAATTTGGCAACCAGGTTGGATATAAGAGGATGTGGGAGAAAAAAGTGTTGAGACACTGAGCTTATGAGCCTGGGTGACTGAGAGAATGGTACCCTCCACTGAAATAGGATAATGGATCTATGAAGAGAAAGAAGATAATGGTATCATTTTGGACAAGCTAAATTTGAAATGTTTAGAGGATTTCAAGGTAAGTAAGTCCCCTAGGAATTGTTAATACAGGACTAGACCTCCAGAGAACGATTGGGGATGGATACATAGATCTGAAACTCATCTGCCCAGAATAATGCTTGAATCCATGGCCACTAATGAGACCACTAAGCAATAGTATATAGAGAGAAGAGGTCCCAGAATGGATCCTTGGAAGATGTCTTTTTTTAGAAAACATGAATGATGTCATCCACTGACTAAGGTGAATAGATCAGATAGATAGGAGATTCTTCGTTCTCTTATTTTAAGAGAACAGGAGTAGCTATCTCAGATCCCTTCCAGCCTGGTAATTCCATTCCATTCTATTCTAATCTATCTTATTCTGTGATGTTACATTAGGATCACTCATGGAACTAGGGACTCAATCAGGAAAAAATTTAGGTGGGCTGTAATAGCTGTAGAGAAGAGATATATTCCTTACCCATAAAAAGAGGGTGTCAGATCAGAATATAGTCACTAGACAATCTCTGACATTCTGCGTTCTTTTCCCTTATTCTACTTGACCCCATAAAGAATAACTAGGAATAAGGGGTTGCAGAAGTGATTGCATCCATGGAGAGATGAGCTTTCTATCAATTAGAACCATTCAAAAGTAAGACATCTTGCCTGTTAAGGTGGTGAGTGCCCCAGTATTTAAGGATTTCCATCAAAGGCAGATGAATTTACTTATAAGTGATGTTGTAGGTAGGGTCCATGTAATGGTCTATGAACTATGACATCTATAACCCCTTCCAACTCTGAAACTCTCTGATTCTCTTGACTTTATTGCTGAAAATACAACAGTATTTCAAAGATATTCAATTTAGTCACTGTGGGTATCTCTCCTAGCATAGACACCAACTCCTCTATATCACCAACTTTATGAGTTACTGTGTTCTCTCTCTGTGTATGTCTGTCTCTCTCTATGTCTCTCTCCTTTATCTCTCTCCTGTCTCCCTTCTCTCTCTGTCTCTATCTCTCTCATCTTTGTGTCTCTCTGTGTCCCTCTCTCTCTCTGTTTCCTTGTCTCTATGTCTCTCTGTCTCTCTTCTCTCTCTCTCTGTTTTTCTGTCTCTGTCTCAGTCTTTCTCCTCATCCCCAAATAAAAAAATATATTGCTTGGTGCAAATCTTCTTGTAGTTAGGATAGTTCTTACATGACAGACCTATGATTTCTCTGGGCTATCCTCTATTCCAAGTCCATCTAGTGTGTCAGGATCTATCACAGATTTCTCTTCAATGCCATGACCTTCAAGAGCCCAGGTTGACCTCTTTTCTACCATGGAGGAGACATAACTTAGTGGGACTCCATAGGATCCTATAGCTAGAGTGGGAAGGAATCTTAGAAACTGCCAAGTCCAACCCTCTCATTTTACAGATGAGGAAACTGAGGCCCATCAAAATTAAAATGCACAAACTGAGTCCTATTTTAAATAGACCAGAAAAGTTTATTATTTAATGAAACTACAGGGTGATTCTTCTTTCAAAGGAAGATGCCTTTTTTAAATGTAAATCAACCCAACTCTGAATAAACTTTTTTAGTCATTTGAGATTCTTGCGCATTTTGATTTAGTGCCTCCTGAAATATTTGGGGTTCATAAACAGATTTCAGCCAAGAGGGCTCAGACTCAGGAAGTCTGAGAAGGGGGAAGGAGTGATCCAAATTTGATCTTGCCATCCCACCTCAAATGCCCTCTTGTTTATTCAAGTACTTGGCACTGAGAGTGAGACCTCCACCATGGCTGATTAGGCAGCAGACTGCAGAGCCCTGGTGTCATTAGGCTTCTGTTTCCAATGTAGATGGCATGCACCTGGAGGGACCGGGAAGAGCATTCCATTGAGAAACCCCAGTGCACCTATGTGTGACTGAGTATTCTCTTATTTCCCTGGTGCTGAGGAGACAAAATCCTCTTCCTTGCAGGTTTTGTGTCTTTGTTTGACCTCTGTGCAGAAATAGACAGACAGATAAAGAAGAGAGAAAGGGGAAAGGGGAAAGGGGAAAGGGGAAGGAGACAGAGACAGACATAGAGACATAGAGATAAAAAAACTAAAAAAGAAACAGAGAATAGAAATGGGAAAAACAACATAGAAAAATATAGAAAGGCTAAGAGAGACAGAGAGGGGTGAAGAGAGGGAGAAGGGGAAAGGGAAGAGAAAAGAGTAAAAAAAAAACAGAGAGACAGATAAAGATGAGAGCAAGGGGGAACAGAGTCAGGGAAACAAAGAGAGGAAGAGCTGTGGGATTGGGGAGGGAAGAAAAAATGCCAAAGGACAAACACAAGCCTCAGATTTGTAGGAGCATAGATCTGGAGCTGAAAGAGATCTAAAGGATCATCCAGTCTGAAGTCTTCCCCTTATTTGATAGATGAGGAAACTGAGGCCCAGAGAGAGGATCACAGTCACATAGGTATCACAGTTGTAATGGTTTTGTTTGTCAAAGAGTAGAGGCGGTGAGGCAACTAGGTGGTACATTGAATAGAGTGCTGGTCCTGGAGTCAGGAAGACTTCTCTTCTTGAGTTCAAATGCAACCTCAGCCCTGGGCAAGTCACTTCACCCTGTTTGCCTCAGTTTCCTCATCTATAAAATGAACTGGAGAAGGAAATGGCAAACCACTCTAGTATCTTTGCCAAGAAAACCCCAAATGGGGGCACATGGAGTCAGACATGACTGAAATTCAACAACAACAAAAGAAGCAATGGTGTGTAGTGCACTGGATTGAGAATTAAAGGATGTGAGTTCAAATCTTGATTCTTCTATTCTGAAGTCTGTGGGACTTCAGGCAAATCCCTTGACCACTTCAGACTTCTATTTCCTCCTCAGTAAGCTACAAAGTTGGACTTAATAATCTATAATGTTCCTTCCAATTCTAAATTATGTGGTCTTATGAGTAGTTCTTGTAGGCAGCTTATGGGAGGTTTTCAGCTTGATGGGTTGTATAGTGGAAGGAGGACTGGCTGGTGTGAGAGGGTCTGTGTTTGAGTCATGGTTCAGACATTTATTATCTTTGGATCCTTAGGCCACTGGCTTAACCTCTCTGGTTAAGCTTCCTCATCTGTAAAATGGAATTAAACACTGACCCCTAATGTTCCTTCCAGTTCTCTGATCCTGTGACTGCCCCACTGTACCACTCTTCAGTTCTGATACACAGTAGACACTCAATAATTGTTTGTTCGTTGACTAACTGGCCTAGGGTCCTGGACAAGATTGGAGTGAGCTGTCCACCTGCTGATTTCTATGAGGCAGCCATCCCTACCATGTTCCTACAGGGGGAGGACTAATGAAAGCAAGACTGATCCATGTTTCCATCTTCCAAACCTTACCCCATACTGTCTCTCCTGTCCTTGCTTCTTTCTTCCCCAGGTGAAGAGTGTGAACCTGTCTGAAGGAGAGCTGCTCTCCATCCGAGGAGTGGATGGCCCCAACCTGATGGTCTTAGCCAACCAGACCCTCTTGGTTGAGGGACAGGTGATCCGAAGTCCAACCAATACCATTTCTGTCTACTTCCGAACATTCCAGGATGACGGCATTGGAACCTTCCAGCTTCACTACCAGGGTAGGGGCCAAACAAAGACTGACAGTCTTGTGTTATTTTGGGTTTTGTCTGGGATCAAGATTCCTCCAAAGTTCCTTTGCTCTCTCTCTTTTTTCTTCCTTTCTTTTTATTTTCCCTCTTTCATTCATTCCCTTTACCTTCTATTCCTCATTCTTTCTTTCCTTCTTATAGTTTTTCCTTTTCTTTTTCTTGTACTGCTCTCTTATTTTGCTCCCTTTCCATTTTCTTTCTTTCATTGCTTCCTTTTTTCTTTCTTTTTTTCTTTTTTCAATCTTATTTTTCTCTCTTTTTCCTTTTCTCATTCTCTTCTGTTTTTTTCTTTTCCTTCATTTTTCCTCATCCATTTTATTGTTTTTCTTCTTCCTTTGTTTTATCTCATCCTTCCTTTTCTTCATCCAGTTCCACATTTTCCTGAGGACTTAGACTTTCTAAACTCTTCAAATTGTGTCTATTTACCTGAAAGTAAAAGATCTGAACAAAAAGTGGGAAAGATGCCCCCAACATCTGGATATCTAGAAGCGTCCAGCTTAATAGCATGTGGTCCAAACATATGGGAGACTGACTATTTCTTCTAAGTGTTTCAACCTCATTTAGACATGGGACATTGTCTTCTTTTTGCTGTTGTTGTTATTTGTGGGGACAGTTTCATTTTTTTATTTTACATAAAACAGCATAAGATGGATTTGGGACAGGGACTGATTGGAACTAAGGCTGCTGTCTATAACTCTCACTTGTCTTATTTGGTTTCTGTCTTTCCTTCCCCAAATATATTCCTGAGCAAATTTCCCACTCACTCAAAATACATACCATAGCAGAGGTTGTTTATCTCAGACTGAATGTAAAAATACATATATAGTACTTTGCAAACTTTGAAGTAAACGTAAAGTATCATTATCATTACTATTATTGTTGTTGTTATTCAGTAAAGTAGATATTTATTTTTTTACCATGTGACCTTCCCCGAGAAAACTGTAAAAAAGAAAGCAGTAACAACATTATTATGATTACTAATTCTGCCCCCAAGGGCCAAGCAGAAGAACATGTCTAATTACATCTCCACATAATAACACTTCAAGTGCATGAATACAGTCATAAGGTCCAATCCCAAGATCTCCATCTCCAGGACACATCCTATTCTCCTATAGAGTGAACACCATCATGTTTCTTTTTCTATAGACATTCTCCAACTGATCAACATCCTTCCTAAAACATAGCAGTTGAAGATAAATATAATTGTCCTGATGAGGGAAAGGACAGTGAGATTCTTAGGTCCCTAATCTTATATGCAAAGAAATACTCTATGCTATTCTTGCACAGAACATCAGAGCTAGAATGGCTCTCAGAGAACATCTGGTCCAACCCTCTTATTTAAAATGCAATTTGTGTCCCAGAACCTATAAACCTGGTTCACAGGAACCAAGCTTAATCTCTTGGGACTTGTCACATAATCATGTTAATTGGTCCATGCCTCCACTCAGGGTTTTCCCTGGAAATATTAAAATTCTGCAGTTTACTAGGCCTCCATATAGCAAATGGAAATGTGTTGCAAGCAGTCATGCTAACAGAACATTAAATACATAGGATGATCTTTCTTTTGACCCAACCAGGAATAAGAATCTGGCCTCCCAAAGTGACCACTTTGAAGTGGTGAGAACTAAATTTGTCTTGACCTTCTTGTTAAACAATCTACCTCACAACTCTGTGATGATATGTGGCTGCTTCTTTTCTCAGAGTTAAGAAGTCAACTCAGGGAGGCATATTTCCTCCACTGATACACTCCTAGGAGTTTTCATTGTTAGAAAAATGCTGAAAGGTAGTGTGGTATAGTAGAGAGTGATGAGCTTGGAATTGGGATCAAATCCCATGCCTAGCTCTCACTCGCTCTTTGACCCTGGTAGTTGCTGTCCTTCATTCTTGAAGAGGACCAAAATGACATCACTATGTTACAGTCAAGTTATAGAGTGTGTCCAAGTGTGGCTGAGCAGACCAGTATGAACTCAGAAAGCTCAAATAGTCCATGTGAACACTTGAGGTAGATTCTCTAAATTTGTGCATCTCACATTTCTCTTGCACTACTTCAATTCTGCTTTGCTCATAGAGCACAGTGCCTTCTTGGATGTGAGTATGCCAATCACTTAACTACTCTGAGTCTTAGGCAAGCATTCTTAACCTATTTGGGACTGTGAACCCTTCTGCAATCTGATGAAGCCGATAGTTCCCTTCTCAGATTAATTCCTTTAAATGCACCAAACGAAGGACGTAGTACTACAAAGGAAACCAATTGTATTTAAATTCAGATATATATGAAATACGTATATAGATATTTAAAGCCCATAGTTCCTGGACACTAGATTAAGAACCCCTGCCTAAGGTTATTAGTTACAGACCAGTTGCAATCTTCATTGATGAAGGAAACTCCCACACTGGGACTTCCTACAAAACGTTCAAGTCGAGGAATATGATGAAATCCCACACTCTGTGGCCCCCACGAGAAATTCTCCTTCTTCATTAGCACAAATTGGATTTCAGGATTTGAGATGAGTTGTTGTTGGTTTTATTTGTTTTTCATCTTGCAAAGGGAAGTGTTCACTGTGTTTATTTATAGCCTTCATGCTGAGTTGCAGCTTCCCCCGGAGGCCCGCTTTTGGAGATGTCACAGTGATGGACCTGCATTCGGGTGGCCTTGCTCATTTCCACTGCTATCTGGGGTATGAACTGCAAGGCGCCAAGACGCTGACTTGCATCAATGCCTCCAAACCTCACTGGAGCAGCCAGGAGCCCATCTGCTCAGGTACAGTCTGCAAAGGCAGACCCAGGGAGGCTCATGCAAATGGATGGGGGTAGCCAATTCGGGGCCTCACCCTCACCTCTCCCATCTTGGATCTCAGAACCCCAGGGGAAGATTGCAGTATGGAATATGGTTCTCCAGGAGAGGGAGGGAGAGGGGCAGGATTCTTCACAAAGCAACAGAACCGCACGATTTCTAGAGCTAGAAGGGAACTCAACGGCCACATAGTTTAACCCATATCCAAGGCAAGTCAACCAGCATTTGTTAAGCGCTTACTATGTGCCAGGCACTGTGTTAAGTGATGAGGATACAAAAAAGGCAAAAATACAGTACCTGCCCTCAAGAAGGTTATATAACAATGAGAAAGACATGTAAATACCTAGATACATACAAGATATACCGGATATATGGAAAGCAATCTGAAAACAGAAAGCTCTAGTAACTCAGGGTACCTGGAAAAGTCTTCTGCATTGTAACATACTGAACAAGTGGTCACACAGTTTCTTCTTGAATACTTCCAATGATGGAGAACTCATTGACTCCAGAGGCTGGTTTTAGTTGATGCTAATTGTTGGATATTTACGCCACCCAGGAGTCAATGGAGAGTAAAGATAAATGCTTCAGGAGAGTCTGACCTTCTGTCTCAGAAGGCAGTGTGGTACAGTGTAGAGATGACCAGTTCTGGTTCTGGAGTCAGAGGGCCTAGGTTCAAATCCCAACTCTGACACTATCCAATGACTTTGAATAAGTTACTTAACATCTCTTGGCCTCAGTTTGTTTATCTGTCAAATGAGAAACTAGATAGCCTTGGAGGTCCCTCTAGCACAAAGTCTATGATCCTATGATCTGTGTGGTCCTATGTCTCTGTTAATCACTCTACACAACAGGAGAAAGCAGAAGGATAAAAATAATAGCCCCTCATGTCCACAGAGCATTGGCCACTTTCCAAGACCCTTTCATATCCATTATCTAATGCGTTTCTCACAACCACCACTGAGAAGTAGGCAAGAAAGGTATTTTTGTGTTTTTGACAGATAAGGAAACTGAGGCCCAGGGAGGGGGAATAACTTGTGAAAGATTTCCCAATCAGTTGGGGCAGAGCCAGGCTTAGACATTGGGTCTCCTGACTCATCTTCCTATTCTATCTCTTTCTAACACAACCATGGAACCCATCACAATCCCAGCTATGGCATTTGCTAGCTGTGTGACATCGGTCCAAGTATATTCCTTAAGTTCCTCCTTTTCCAAATGTGAGTCACTACCAACCTCACATAGTTGAGAAGAGAATTAGTTAAAATAGTGGATGTTAAAACATCTTAGAAAACTGGTGAGTTCTCTAAGAATGACGTGTGGTGTGATTGTTAATGTAATTATTATTGCTTTCTAGATGTGGGGGATTTAATTGCCCTCAGACATCAAGTAAAACATAAGCATGGGAAAACTTATAGGGTGGAAATTAAGGAAAAAGAGGGACATAATTCCAGAATCTTAGAGTTGGAAAAGGCCCCAGGGATCATCCCATGGGATCCAATTCATACCTAAGCAAGAATTATTTCTCCAACAACCATGACAAAGTAATCATCCAACCTATTTCTTAAGGTGTCCAGTGAGGGTTAGTCCACCATTTCCAGGGGCAACCCATTCCACTTATGGAACATTTCAATTATTAGGAATGTTATCCTTATGTAGTTCCTCTTTATCTGGTATGAGTCAACCCACATTGTAGCAGGTGGTGGCTCTCTTTTCCCCATTTTCTCACGGGAACTCATTCTTTGTTTCTATGGCTCACTTCCTCTCCAACTACCTTCAAGCTGGCAAATCTTGGAATTACCCAAAGAAAGTCAACCACTAATATTTAATTAGCAATAATCAAAACATTTACTTAATCACATAATGTTTACATAACACTGTACCTATAAACCTGAATCACACTTTTCCATCAATGTACATAGTGTCTGTGAAGAGAATGAACACACACTTCAGGTCCCAGGGTAAGTAACAAGGGACATCCATAGGGAATATGTGTGACCAGGGCACCTCACAACTTTGTAACTATAGGCTTCCATATTCTCTTTCTGTCTCAGGAACTGTTCTTAAAAGTTCTTTCATGAGCATGGCTTCTGTGTAGAACAAATACTTCCATTGCTAAACAGGGCTGACCCATGCTGTCCTAGATTAACACTTCACTAGGCATAGTAGCTAAATTGGACAAGTCAATCTTCTGGGTTGTTTCTCTGTTTTTCTGCTTCTAAGCTATTCTATTGCTCAGCAGGAGTTACTCCCCTTGACAGCATCTGTAGTATCCATCACTTCCAGATTTGGGCTTACTGACACCTTTAGCTGAAGTGGTGTTATTCCCTTTTAGGAAAAAGGCAGCAACTCTTACAATAATATTGGCAAAAGTCTTTCCAATTCTATATTTGGCAAAATTATCCTCCACTTCTCAACAAACACATGTGCAATTCATGGAATTATCTTCTGTCTTCTCTTTTCTATTCTATTCACTTCTCCCCCTCCTCCTTCTTTTCCTTCTACTTTTCCTTTCTTCCTCCTCCTTCCCTTCATCTTTCTTTTCTCATTTTTGCCAACAAATAAAAGAAGAGAAATGTTGTCTCCACTCTTCCTCCCATTTCTCTCCTCTGCCATCTTTCTTCTTGTCAGCAACAAATAGGAAAGAAAACAAAATATATTTTCTCAGCTATTTCTTCCCCCCAGCTGCAAGTTGGCAGTTGAGTGATCAAAGCATATCCTTTCCAGCCTATTATATGCAAATCAGCAACTGCTGTCTCTGAACATTCAGCAATTAATTTCTTCAGAACTCTAAGACAGATTTATAGCCCAGACAAGTAAACTGCCCAAAGTCATCCTCCTTACACTTACATAAATCCTAAATGTGTTCTTCCACAACTTTTCCCCATGTCTCCTAGGTTCTGCCCTCTCCACATGACAGCCCTTCAAATACTGGAAGAGATATCAGATCCCACTCCATCCCCAAGTCTTCTTTCCTATGGACTAACCATCCTCAGTCTTTTCCACTGATTCCCATTTGGCATGATCAAGGTGGAAGTGGAGCTGATGCTTACCTCAAGTTTTTGTAGAGTTTTTGTTTGTTGGCTTTTGGAGTCCATTTTTCTTATTCTTCATCTTCCTCTGTCTCCCATTCTCTTTATCCTCCTCATTCTCCTTTTCCTTCTCCCTCACCTTTTCCTTCTTCTCCTTCCCCTTATCTTTCTCCTTAGAATAATAATAGTTATCATTTATATTGTACTTTGAGGTTTGCAAAGCACTTTACAAACATCTGATTTTATTTTCCTTTTACCTCTCTTTCTCTCTCTTCTTCTTCCTCTCCTTCCTCTCCTCCTCATCTCTCTCTTTTTTATTCCTTTCTATTTCTTTATTCTTTCTCCCTCTTTCCTCTCTCTTCTTCTCCTTTTTCCCTTTTCCTGTCTTTTTCCTTTTACCTCTCATTTTCCTTTTCCTTCTTCTCTTCCTTCTTATCTTTCTCATTCTCCTTTTGTTTCTCATTATCCTCCTCCTTTGCCTTCTCCTGCTTCTTCTCTTTTTTCTTTGTCTTCTCCTTCTTCTCTTACTTTGTCTTTCTCCTTTTCCACTTTCTTCTTTATAAAATATCTTTTAGTCCTGGTTAAACCTCCCACATTCATTTTTTTATCCATGCTAAATCAGAGAGGAATTAAACTCAAATTGTTGCTAAGCAAGACTGATGAAAAGCCATGACCGATAAATAAGAGCTGAATAGAATCACCTGTTGATTTAATAAGGCATGCAATAAAATCCTGGCACCAAAGGGGAGCTTGGGGCCAATCTTTTAGCTTGATCCTGACCTTGCCAGGGTCTTGTTGGGAATGGGATACCCATCACCCAGTCCTTTGAATCTGCAGCATGAGAAAAGACTCTCTAGGAGTTGTCTTCTTCTGGAAGAGAGTTACAAATAAATATCAAGATTATGAGATGGAAGGCTGTTAGCTAAATGACCCCTCCCATCTTACAGGAGAGGAAACTGAGGTCCAGAGAAAGGAAGTGACTTGTCCAAAGTTACACAATTAGTAAGTGGCAGAGCCAGAATTGAAATTCCAAAAGCTAATGCAATCTTAGGCTACCTAAGAGGGGCATAGCCTCCAGAAATAAAGATGCAATATTCCATCCATACTGTGCTTGGGTCAGACCATTACTGGGGTGCTGTGTTTAGCTCTAGGTATCACCATTTATGAAAGATGTTAATTAGCTGGAGCACATCCAGAAGTAGGTCACTCAGTCAGTCAATAAGCATTTATTAAGTGCTTTCTATGTGTCAGGCACTATGCTAAGTGCTGGTCAGGATGGTGGAGGGTCTTAAGTCTACACCTTCCCTTTCTACTCCCAATTTATCTCATATCTACTTTGCATGTCTGTCATATACACCTATGTGTATGTGTGTGTACATATATATGCAATATATATAATATATATATGAGAAGCAGAATGATGGAATGAATAGGATGTTGGTCTTCAAGACAGGAAGATCTAAGTTCAAATCCAACTGAGTCATTGTCTGACCCTGGACAAGTCACTTGATCTCTCTGGGCCTCTTTTTCTTCATCTGTAAAATAAAGGTGTTATATGTGACGTAGTGGGAGCTAAGTGTCACAGTGAGTAGAGTGCCAGACCTGTAGTCAAGAAGACACATCTTCCTGAGTTCAGATCTAGTCTCAGACACTTACCAGCTATGTGACCCTAGGCAAGTCATTTAATCTTGTTTGCCTCAGTTTCCTCATCTGTAAAATGAACTGGAGAAGAAAATAGCAAACCACTCCAGTATCTTTGCCAAGAAAACCCCA